CTTTCATCCAGAATCTTACTGCTGTTTGAATGTGTCCCCTGCAAAATTCAGGTGTTGCAAAGGTGACATTCTTTAAGAAGTTACTGGATCACAGGGGCTCTTCCCTGGTGAATGAGATTAAAGCTCTTAGGATGCTTCACACAGCTTTCATATTCCACTACGTGAAAACAGCATACGTCCTATCCCTTCCCCAGGATGAGGCCCTCCTTAACCAACGGAGGGTTAAGATGCCTGCGGCATCTCTGTTGGGTTTCCTAGCCTCCAGAACTATGAGAAACAGATTTGTATTCATTATAAAGTATCTAGTCTGTGGTGTTCTATTGTAGCAACACAAAATGGATTGAGACAGTCACCTTTTGGAAAATGTGATACACTTTGTAAAAAATTTCATCTTGTAGTAATACTGCACGAGATTCCCTTGAGCATAGACATTCCCACGTTCTGCTGCTTCTTTTAAGCAGTGCAGAGCAGCTTCAGTATCCTGGCGGATGCCATGTCCATAAAGGTACATGAGACCAAGAGCACCCTGGGACTCCAGGTTTCCATTGCCACATGCTTCTGAATGCCAATAAAATGCCTAAGAAGGAGCACAAGTTGATCATTTTATTATTAACAATTTGAAATTGTAAGGGGATTCTAGAAAGAAAAGGCTAATTATAAAATAGTACGATAGAACATTCATCTTTAGGAAGTAGTTCTAGCCCCTTGAATGTATGGCACCCAAGCCCTGAATGCACAGGCCAGCAAGAGTGCTGTCCACCTCGTGCTGGTGACGACACAGGCGAGAATGGCTAACAGGGGAGGATCAGCTGTCATTGTTTCAGGCTTCAAACTTTCCAGAGTAAGGATCAAGATGGTGTAAAATCAGAAGTGAAAGGCTTGAGGACACCTGCAATGAGTCTCCTAAAGGAGAGAAGAGCTGTGACACGAAAGAAAAGTTAGAGAGGGCAGCTGCCAAGATCAAAGACTACTGAGGATGGAAGCTGTGTGTGGTCTCAAGTGCATTTGCTTGATGCTCTATTATGGTGAATTTGAATTACTTTAAAAATCTACCTACAAGTGGCTGCTCAGTTATCTGAGGATAGTCTTAGTTGTTATCTGCCTCTTACTAATTTGCCATTCATTTCTCTCATAGAAGCAGAAGTCAGTTCTCTGTGTAGAATTTCTTGGAAAATGTTCCCATCATTGATGATGAAGAGATTATGTTTCTGTGAAAAACTTAAATGGATTTACCTTTTAATTCTTGATATATTTTGCTTAGTTTCATTGATTATTTCCTCAAATCAAAGGTGATATTATTTATTCACACTTAAGAGAATCTGAGCATTAGTTTCAGGACCATTATAGCTTTTATAATGTTATGCTTTATATATGTAACTTTATACAAAATACTCTCACCTCTAAATACTCGTTCCTATGGTAGAAATAGGGAAGATAGCATTTGCAGATGAGTAAAAGGTATGAGATGAGCGTTGAGATCCTAAAATATGAACTTTCTTTACATTTTAAAGGAAATGCAAGACACGTTTGACACTACACACTTATTCCCCACTGTTCTCTCAAAAAAAATGAAGCAAATATGAATCTAAATGTTATGCTAGCATTAAAAAAAAAGAAGAAAGGGAATGTTACCTTTTCTAACTCTTTGGGTTCTTTTGTTGAATAATACAATCCTAGGATACACTGAGCCTTCACACTAGCTTTTGGATTTCCATTGTCTGCAGCAAAAAGCCACAGTCTAAAAGAGAAAGCAAGGTGAGTTACTCCCTGTTTCAGCATTTCAGTAAAACAAAATCTTGTTTCCAGTACAGTTACCTTTCAGCTTCCTCATCTGATCGTTTAACACCTTTTCCTTCATAATAAGCTCTTCCGAGGTTGTAAGCAGCAGCAAATTTTAAGTGTCTTGCTTTGGGACATGGAGAATCAACAATTTTCTTCATATATTCCACTCCTTTTTCCTTCCACAAAGGAAAAGAACAAACAAAACCTAGTTTTTAGTTTTACCCAAACTGAGTAATGCGTTGCATTTTCCTCTCCTCCCTCCCACTTTGTACCCCTGGTCCTGAAACAGCACTTACCAAAAGTAACTCACATTTACCAAAGTACAAAAATAGCCAGTAACTTCTTTCACATTATTTAATGAGTCTTTTAAAGTTATACATAATAGTAGAATCCATTTTGGTAAAATTATAAAAGCGTGGCATAAGTCTTATTCATATCAGGGCCCCATTCTTGTGGGTATACATGATAGTGGGATTCACTTAGGTATTTTCATATAGATAAATAGGAAAATTATGTCAGATTCATTCCACTGTCTTTCCTATTCTTATGCCCCCTTCCTTCCCTTCATTCCTCTATGTCTAATCTACTGAACTTCTCTTCTTCCCCTCCCCACCTTTATTGTGGTTTAGCTTTCACATATCAGTGAAAATATTCCAATTTTGGGTTTTTTTGGGATTGGTTTATTTCACTTAGCACAACAGTCTCCAGATCCATCAATTTACTGGCAAATGTCATAAAGTTGTTCGTCTTTATGGCTGTGTAATAGTCTATTGTGTGTATATATACCACAATTTCCTTATCCATTCATCTGTTAAAGGGCACATAGTTTGGCTCCACAGCTTAGGTATTGTGATTTATGCTGCTATAAATATCATTGATGTGTCTGCATCACTGTGTTGGATATATACTGAGAAGTGGGATGACTGGTCAAATGGTAGTTCCATTCCTAAGTTTTTGAGAACTCTCCATAATGCTTTGCAAAGTGGTTGCACCAATTTGCAGTCCCTGACTTTGCAATAACTGACTTCAAGGAGCAATAAAGAAGGTCAAGACTTTAGAGTAACATATTTAAAATGCAGAAAAAATATTGTTAACTAGAAAAATAATTAGTCACAACTGAAGGCAATAATTTTTTCAATAATCAATATTGGAGATAATTCTGAACTTGGAGACCTGTATTACAAAAAATGCCCTTTAGAGAAGTCCAAGGTTCCACTTCCCCCAAAGAAGTGGGGAATGATGTCAGATGGCAAATCTTGATAGAAGAAATGAGCATCCAATATGGTAAATACGTAGCAAATATCAAAGAACACACACAGAGACACACTAAACACACATGTGTAGATTTGAAGTGAGATTGTTTTTCAAAAGATTTGTGACTAACCCAAAAATTATTTTTGAGGTAATAGAATTGTAGTTGAAATATTTTGAAGTTGATAACATTATTAATATAACACACATACCACAGCAAATAACACGAAGGTTGGAGGGTGTTAAATAAAAACATTTCTCTTCAGGTTTCCTACATTTTTACCTGAAATAATCTGGCATTGATTCTATGTAAATGGTTATCAGTTAGAGATGCATATTATACTGTCTAGGGAAACTACTAAAAACAAAACAAAACCAAAAATATACAGCTCAAAAATTAATAAGTCAAAATAGAATACCAAATGGTATTCAAATTGCCCCACCACTATTTTCTATAGATTTGAATTAATTACTTTATGATACACTAAATACCCATACATCTACATGGCCCTTTCTAAACTCAGTATTTGTTACCTTTCGATCTATTTATCTATTTCTAAACAAATTTCACATTATTTTAAGTATAACAGATATATTTGGCTACTTATTAGTGTAAGTCCCCTCCCTCTCCCTTTGTTCATTCTTTAAAATTAGACTGACTATATTGTATATGTCCCTTTTCATATGAAATTTAGAATCAACTTGAGATTCATAAAAATTCTTGTAATAAATTTGATTATGATTTCATTTAATACATAAAGTTGAATCTGGGTAGCAATTAGAGACAAGATGTGAAAATAGTGTCTCTGAAAAATAGAAAAACTGACAAATGATGAACAGCACTATGGCCCAATCAACCTGTATAACATGAACTACACAAATCAATGTGTCCTGATTCTTGCGCTAAATTTATTCAAAGGATTTCTGCCTTATGCTAGAGAAACTGCCCAAAACTTTTTCAGATTCTGAAACCCGGTACAACTGTCCTCAACACAATTTATCTCAGTGAAAAAACTGGCAGCATTTTCCCCTCAATCCTAGTTTCAAATTTCACTTGTAGCTTCTCCAAATGTTGGGGCTTATATGTCATTATTACCTCTTGAGGATAATAGTGACCTTATAATGCTCCACGAAAAAGAAAACAGACATTTTAAGTCTTTCACATAAAACATACACAGTTTAACCAGGCTGTGAATCAAATTATATCAAGAATAAGTTGATAAATTCATGAAAGAAGGTGAAAAATTTATTTTATCTTTGCCCCCTTTTCCCTTAGGAAATAGTATGCTCAAGCTAAAAATGTAATCCTAGGTAAAGAGGAACCCACAGAATCTTTTTGCTCCTCTGATCTCCTTATATAATTACATTCAAGTCATTCTGATTCGGAGTTGGCATAGGTAACCCATTGAACCTTCCAATTTTCTTTTTTTACTTTTATTTTAAAGATGTTGATGGACCTTTATTTCATTCATTTATTTATAGATAGTGCTGAGAACTGAACCCAGCGCCTCATACATGCTAGGCAAGCACTCTTATCACTGAGCCACAACCCCAGCTCTGAACCTACCAATTTTCATCGTCTCTCTCTACTCCTTTGGGTTCTGACTTCCCACGTTACCCAATTTATTTTATATCCATCACTAAATTCAATACCTTTCCCCTCTTTTTATTCATGACATGGGACAACCTAGCAAATGCCCCATTTTTCTGCTGTCCTTAAGCAGCTAAATATGGTTGGAAAACCCCACAACTTTCTTTAAATTTATAACCACAAATTTGAGAGGAGGCCCTCAACACTGGTAAGCAATGCTATCAACTTGTCTTTTCAGTTCTGTCTTCCACTTACCTAACCTAATGGATAATACATTATTTGGGACCTTATCTTTATTTAAGCATCCTCACCCATCTCCTGTCTCTTCCTCAGCTCATAGTTTCACTTTATTTTTTTTCTACTTTTTAGTTTCATAAAGAACATGAAATGCTTTATAAATTTAAATGTCATCCCTATTCATGGGCTCTGTTAATTTTTTTCTGTGTTGTTCCAATTTTAGGACACATGTAGCTGAGGTGAGCATATAGCTTTACTTTTATTTCACCAAGAAAACAGAGGATATCAAATGAAACGCCAGGCCTATCATCTTACCTTATTTATCAATTTTTCCTCCAGATTTTATGTATGAACTTACAAACATACTGCGCTATCTATGATGGGGGCGGGTAGGGAGAATTTCTCTTGAGTCCATGATCTCCTTTAGTTACTGTACATATTACTTGTTCTACTTTATAGCAAAATTCTGTGCTTATGTCTACTTTCTTACCTCCATATAACTCCTCAACCAATTAAGGTCCATTATGACTCCACTGAAAATGCTTTTGTCAAGGTTTCCAATGAAATCCATCTAAACATATCCAGTAGATAGCGCTCATTCTACTCCACCTCTTAGCAGAATCTGAAACAGATGATCACTCGCTCTATCTTGAAATATTTTCGCCATTTTGACTTTTCCAGATCACCATGCTCTTCTGACCTTCCTACATTTTCCCTGGATAATGCTTCTCCTTCTCCTTTGTAGGCTCTTTTCCTCTCACCATTAGATGATGGATGGTTCCAATCTCTGTCTTTGGCTGCCTTCCCTATCTGTGTTCACATTCATCAATCTTATGCAATCTAATACCATAACTACCACTGCTCCACAGTTAATCCACCATTTATTTCTCCACTTCTGACTGCACCACTGAACTCCTGACACTCTACTTGACATCTCCAATTTTCAAATATAAACTTTTGGGTATTTCTATCATACATCATATCTGCTCCTCACTCAGTCATCCCATTTTTATTAAAAGCCATCCCACTTTTAGTAAAAGTCCTGTCTCCTCTAGAACATGTATCCTAAACCTTCCCACTTTTCTTTATTTCCACTATCACTATCATAATAATTTTTTTTAAAGTCATTATCTTATCTGAACTACATGGCTTCCTAACTGAAGTTCTTGCTTCCATTCTTGCATCAACTCACTCTTTACATAAAAGACAAATTATTTTTTAAAATGTAAATCATTTATTCCACTCCTCTTGAGTGACTTCACATTGCATTGAGAATATGAATCATGCCTTTGGCCACATTTTGTTAAATCTCATGAGGTCTGGACCCTGTCTCTCTAATTTGACTACATTTCAGTGATTCTGTTCTTTCTGTTTCTTGGGCCTTAGAATTAGTCATTTCTTCTGCCTGGAATGTTCTCCTAGACCTAACTGTACATGGTTATTCCTTATTGCTCAGATTTTTCATGTCTTCAAAGTGGCTTTCTCAATGTGAGACTATAAAGATCTTCCCAATCTAAAATGGCATTTCCAGCTACTTTCATATATAAACCTGTTTTATATTCTTCATAGTTCATCTAATTATCTTTCCTTTAAGTATATCTTTGCTGAGAAAAGTACTAGGTAAATGATGGGTACTTAATAAATATTTGTGAGAAGGAATGAATGGAAAAGCATTCTGGAACTATGAATGTGCAGTTCAAAGATGTGGTATAGGGAGTTGCGATAAGAAAAGATGAAATATTGGTTCCCATGATCACATGTGAGGTTAGAGTTGAATAGGAAGGTAAATCTACAAGACTACAAGACTAGGAGAAAATGGAGAATGAAGGATTGGACTAAGACCCAGAGTCTGTTCATTAACAGTGAGGAAATAAGAGACCTGGAGAGCCAAGGACTATGGTCATGTGGTAGAACACTGGGGTTTAAAATTTTTTTATGTGGTGTAAAACAAGATTTTTCAGGGCATGACATGGTTGAGGATATGGACAGTAGGTGGATGGCTGAAATGGAGAAGAGGCAAGGGACACTGGAAATGCATTGGGCCTGTCAAGGAACTCTATGGCTAAGGTGTTAGATTGTCCATTCTCATGGACACTGAAGTCAGATCAAATGATGGAATGACATGAGGAAGAAAACTAAACAGAGTCAAAGCCTTCAGAGTAATATAAGGAAGTGGGCAACGACCAGGAAATTGATAGAATTAGGAAAGCAATGGATGGGTATAAACTTATAAGTAGGTACTTTGTGTGGGTGGAGAGATGAGACAGTGGTTGAAAGGCTAATTGGAGGATATAAGTAAAATGGCAGCACCACCCTTCAAGATGGTATGTTGGAGACTAAAAGAGGAAACTTCTATGAAAGAGAGCTGCTGGTGGGACAACCAATTGTATGAAAAGGTCAGGAAGCAATCTGAGAAAAGGGAGACATTATTGGCCAATTGTAAGGTTTTAGAAGAGAAAGCAGCAGAAGGAGAGGGAGTTATAACAAAAAGCATCATGGTCAAGAAGCTGTGAGAAAACAGATGACCTGAGAAGTACAGTGTATATTTTGTGGTAGCCAAGTGATCCAGCTGTCACACTTGGTAGGACCAACTGAACTCAAAGTTCCATGTGGAATCTGGGTGCCAAGTTCAGATACAGTCATAGATGGCTGGGCCTGAGGTTATGTGGTGAAGCTCCTGCTGGGAGCAGTCAAGCAGACATGGGAAATTTGGGGCTTGTGGTGGGGACTGGAACAGCAGTTATTGGGATAGAAACTAAAAAAGAGTGCTGTTTTGATAATATGATCATAGAAAGCCTCTCAAAAGCTTTCGAAGATACCTGAAGGAGAGAGGCAAAGGCCACGAGAGAGATGACTAAACTACTTTGTGTGAGAAACATGAGATAAATTTGCCTTTGCTTTGGTGACTCAAGGCTGCTTTGGGATTGTGGTGTGCTGATAAATAGCCAGAAATTCAATAACTTGGTTTAGCTAGCATCACTCACATTTCAAAAGGTTAATCAACCTGTGGAAAAGACATGATAAGTTTTCTGGAATTGAAAGGTTAAAAGCCAGATTCTAAGCCAAGGAGAATTTACCAAATAAATGTTACTTTGTATGGCCTCTCTTCTTGGCAGTCAAATACCTGGCTTCCCATGGGAACATCCCAATTTATGCTCCTTTATTTTGACCTTTTTGACATGATTGATATTTTGGAAAGATGGCCTTGGTGGCAGTATGAATGATAAATTTGGTACATGGACAGAAGTAGGGGACGGGCTTTTGTTATAAATCAGGTAAGGGGTATTGTGGGTCTGAACTGAAAAAAAAAATGAGAATAAAAGGCTGGGGACAAATTTGAAAGATAATCAAAAGACAATGAAGAAAAAAGCAGAGGTGATTACTGACACTCTAAATTACTTATGATTGAAGTTCTTTGATTTTGATAATCTATGAAACTGTATTGATGGGAGAAAATTGGATACATTTTATTTAAATCTAAAGGAATGGAGTTTTCACACACAATTTGTGTATGTGTGTGTTGGAGGGAGGGTGATTCTATGATTTTCCTTGCATTCAAACACAAAATGTTCAATTTTGGTGCCTCAACCCCAGTGTTAAAAAGTCATGTAAGAAAGTTTACTGTCTGGATCCTACATAGTTTTACATAATTTATCCATAATTTACTGAAAATAACCTATCACATTAAGAAATCAAAATAATTTAATTTTAATCAATTTATTTATTATTTTAATTTAAAATATTTTGTTGACTTTTAGCACATTTTGTGTAGTTTGATGCCATGATGTTTGGCACACATAGGCTTTGTATTTTTATGTTTTTCATATTGACTATGGCTAAAGTTATCATTATATTTAACTATTTTTTTCCATTAAGTTTCAATGAGTGTTTCCATGCATACTTCTTTGGAATATCTTCAGTTAGCCATTTGACAATGTTTTCTGTGTTATTTGCTTTAAGTAAAGCAAATGTGTACTTTTTTATTAGGGAAATTTATGCAAATTATTCTTCTTTCATAGCTGAATTGAGTTTGAGTGCTCTTTTACTTTATATATAAAATTTTCAAGCATGCAGGAAAGTAAAAAAACAAAAACATTATAGCCACTGTATAGATTCAGCAACAATATTTTGCTATTTTTACTTCCTCTTTCTCTATATATTTGCTGATTTGATTCAAGTTATCCCCAGATATGTAAATACCAGGATAATTCTCCCCTAAATCTTTCAGTATGATCTGCAAAAGAAGAACTACTTCTGCATCAGCACAATACCAGTGTTATTTCTAAAAATGTCAAGTTATGAAATTGCGAATGCTCTAATTTTTTGAAGAAAAAAACTTTAAAGATTGGTTTTCACAAATTTAACTTATGCTATTTGTAATTTTTCTCTCACTCTTTCAAGTTGGATTGATGAGACTAGAATTCAAATACCACTGACAAATTTCTTTCTTTCTGCTATTCTATTTTTTTGTGTCAAAAATATTTTTTATTGATCCCAAATCTTTTGAGCATTTATTATTTCTTTGGAAAATTTGAATTATTGATTTTTGTTTTTGTAAATTCTCTCTGGTTAGAGAATATGTATATTTTGAAGGTTTCCAAAGAAGATGGTTTTAAATATAATCCTACCATTATCATCATTTCCTAAGCACTTATTTCTAAGTTTTATACTAAATAATCCCATAGCTCATGTGATGGGTTAGCCTTGATAGTATTCAAATGTAAATAGAAGATCACTGAGTTAGACAGCACAAATAACTATAAAACAAATGCCTCAAACAATTTTCAATTCTAGAAAGACATGGGTAGTTTCACGACAACTGTGTTTAGGTAATGAACACAGTACAGCACCAGATAACCTCATGAAGAAATAACTACATCCCTCAAACTTTTTTCTTGGTCCTCCTTTACTTTTCTATTTCCAAATTAATTCTGGAAGTCAACTGACTAATCTTTCATTATTATCTTTCTTGAGACTTTGTGTGATATTTTTTAAAAAGCACATTGGTTTGTTTTTTCAATACTGGAGATGGAACCCAGGGTTACTCTACCACTTAACTACATTCCCAGTCCCTTTTATTTTTTATTTTGAGCTGTTCTCACTAAGTGTCCAGGCTGTCTTCAACCTTGCAATCTTCCTGCTTCAGTCTCCCAAGTTGCTACATTATATGTTTTGCAATTGTACCCTGCCTTTTATGCTCTTCTTACCAGGAAGTTTCAGTTTGTGTCAACTGTTGTATGAAAACTT